AAATTATCTCTTAAGAAAGTCAAGCGAGAGGATGACCTACGTCAGATTCTGCTAATATGTAGCAAAGAGCCTTCAGTTAAAGGGATCAAATTATTTAAGCTCTTCAATCGCCAAACACCTGACTGACACAGGACACCGAGTAGATGTGCTGGTATCATCCAAAATAATTAACAGACAAAATACCTCAAGTCTTCTCAGGTTTGATGAAGCTGTAGCAATAAAACGATTGAAGCCTGACCTGTGTGTCCAAAAAGAATCCGTTGTTGGACTTCAATTACCCTGGTGACTCACATCTTAGTAACTCTTTGTTTTCTAATTTTGTTTTCTTATCTTTTCACCTATCCCCTTCTTTTTTTCAGTTGACTCTCTTAAGAGATAATTTTTCTTGATCTTCTGAGTTCTGCTCACTGTATTACATCATCGCCTTCTCATCTGACCGCATGTGCAACGAAATTTTGATCTTCTCTTATCTAATCACGTAACTATTGCTAATTTTCTTTTGTTGCCACGCCAACATCACAACTGTCAATTAATTTTTTTCAAGAAACTTCTCTCTACGAAGATATATATATATACATGTCCTAACACTTTAGACACCTTGTAAATCTCAATGCCTTATTTTACTATGACTCTTTGACATTATGCTTGCTAATGGACAAAATTTTGGTAAAACTGTACACTTTTTATTTTTATTTTATTAAGCAATTCAGGTTGTACGTAGCTGATGAAAAGCAACGAAATAGAATGGATCCAGATTATTCTGCGCCAATGTTTCTTTTTTTCTTTGTTGACATTTTTGTGTATCCAACAGTCTGACTTCTCCTTTGAGGCCAGTTACATAGACCTTACAATTTGGCGTATTTATCGTAGGATTTCCGAACAACATCCTACATGGTTAAACAAGGGACAAACAAAGTCCATTCATAGCTCTATTTTGTCTTATCTCGTGGATACAGAACACAAGGTTGATGTCAACAAGACAGTGTTCAAAGCTATCTACCATTCACCAACTAATCTTAATTCTACCACAGTAGTTCATCAGGATTCACAATAAGCAGCCTAACTTATGTATCCAAAATAATGAGTTCGTTCTGACTCTTTCATTATCTTAACCTTAAGTTGTCGCATAGAGTTTCTCAATTTCTTCTGATATCAATATTACATTTTTATGCTGAAAATAAAATTGCACATCTCCCCTGAGCTGTACTCCCATCGTGATCTTAACAAATCGATATCAATTTTCATGAGTGTGTCTGTGTAGATATTTGATTTTGCATCAAGTTTGACTTTGCATAGGCGGATACAATTAGCGGATAGATGATCTGCCATTCGAAAAACAGCCACAAAGAGATGAAAGATTAACTTTCATTGAGAAACAGCCAATCAGAAGACTGTGTTTGTTTCCTTACAATAATCTATATTAATGTACATGAAAATATATAAATATGTGTTGATTTCCTTAATAAACGATCTGTTGCCTGGTCCTTGTCTTCTGTTGTTACACTGGGACTTGACTCATTGGTCGGCGTATGAATTCTAACTTCTACCGATTCCCGACTTTAGTGGGACTGGCACGAGCCAGTTTCACTGGTGGGTATTTCTCGTCACTGCTGACCTGATGAGCCCCACTAATTGGTCACGATTTTTCACTTGAACTCCAAGTAACTTCATCCTGTACCCAGTCACAAGCGAGCGTCAAATTAATTTTCATCAGTTTATTTGTAGGGATGAGAGTTAACGCTGAAATCACGAGTTGACAGAAGTTAGAATTCATGGGTTGGCCAAAGAGGTTTCGAGTCCCAGTGGCTGAATAGCTCAAGACCTTGACTTGTAACAAGAAGGTCCTAAGTCTGAACCCCGGCGGTGGACACCTACTGCTGATGAGTTCGAAACTAGGACGAAACAGCTAAGTGTCAAGAACTCCCGGACGCGTTTTAAATGCTTCTGTCACTGGTATCGATCTGTGATGGTCAAACCTAAAGTGAAGTCGATAATACTTAGAAGAACACCTACAGTTTTAGTAACAGTTGTTCTAGAATATTTTGTATAAATATATATATATTTATAATTTAAGAGCCGGAAAGGAACTTTCTTACGTTTTCTAAATGTCTGAATGAGAATTTCGTAACCATAGAGTATTTTTTGTTGTAAAATCCTATCATTTACCAACAATGAAGCGTTCGGCATCCAGCAGCTAACGTGTATTACTGAATTCCGACTAGATAGTTTGATGTAATCTCTCCAAGTGAAAAATTAGGATTTTGATGCTTTAAGCATTGTAAGTTTCACTAGGCGTGTTGAATTTATTGTTTTGAAGGTATGGGCTGATAGCCTCAAGGCCAGGCTTTCCTCCTTTCCCGTCTAACTTACTGCTAGGCGTGATTTTAGAGTGGGTTGACCAGTAAAGAAACGTCAACCAACCACTTGTGTAGCTGACGATCTCATAACCTCCAGTAGTACAGTGCTATTCAATGAGTCATCGTGGCAGTTTCTAACGATAAACAGTTTGAAAAAATTAACGTGTAATGATGGGGAGTTATCAATTTGTGGTTTCCGCCTAACTTGACTAGCATACGCCTTCAGGAAAGGCACTAATAGCCACGCTAATGATCACTTTAAAATATCTCCGCGCAGAGTGATTTTTAACTGTGGCAACAGCTTTTATTGTCCAAAATACACAGGTATATATATATATATATATATATAATTTACAAAACCTCAGGAAATCAAGCTATAAATAAATAAATAATCAAATCTGATTGGTTACGATCCTCAGAAAGTGAAGCCATAAATAAACGAATCATAAAAACCATCCAATCAGATTATCATATCAGTGTTGCACTGTATAAGCTATAACTTTAAGGCTAAAAAAGAAGCCTTTTCATCCTAAGAGTTTGGAAGTGGTGACAGTGATGGCTAAACAAACCCTAATCCCAAAATATTGAATTCATGTCTGTTTTCGGACAGTGATAACTTTAGGAATACAGCCGTTGATAAACATCTTCATTAGCCTGCTGAAATTGCTTCATATCAAGCGAACGCCAGGTTTCTCCAACATACGTGGGAAAGATAATCCAAATTTAGTTGTTTATGCTGAGTGAGTGAAGAAGATTTCCAACTTGATTTTGGAGTAATGAAGGTCTGCCTTGCCTTTCCGATTCTGGCTAGTTATGACATCCTCATCTGTGGCGACTGACTGACAGTAGTGGAAACAATAGTTCCTAGATAAGTAAAGGAAGTGACGGGAAAGTTGAACTTTAAGCACCACTAGCTAACAATCAGCGAATGACCTCGAACGCACCAATCACAAGAAGGAGGCATTTTTGTGTATAGAATACATATATTTATGAAAAGAAATGCATAAAAACTATATAAAAGTGTTGCATAGGATGCCTTCCTCTAACATGTGATAAAAATTGCTCTCCGTTTTAGGTTGGAATATCAACAGAACTTAGTTCCATTGTGGGAAAACTGGGAAATAAACTGTGGTCGAAACGTCATACGTAAATGTTACTGTATAACATGCCGTGAGACTTTATCAAAATTAATCTAACCCACAATGGAATTATACTCTACTACAGTGCACAAGTTCCATTCTATATCAACAGAGTAATTGAACCACATTCTATGCATGCAATAATTTAGGTCTATCTAACCCTAACAATAACCCTATTCTTTCCTCAGCCTAATGCTAACGTGAAAATATTCCTAAATTAAATGCAGTCTAATTCGAACCAATCCTTATGTCGCCTTTATTAGGTTAACCTAACCCTAACTTGTCCTTGAATTAAACCGTAACTTTATCTTTCCCAAATCTAAACCTAAATTTGCCAGATATCCCATTTGGTAGCATAACACTTCGAAGAGCATAGTTTATTGATGATGACAACATTATTTGCCAGGTTCCACTCACTCGCTCAGTGAGCGTTTCAAGTTCACTGGTGCGGTCGCACTCCATTGGTAGTTAGTGGTGCTTATAGTTTAACTTGGCCGAAGTGACTTCTCTCAAATTTCACCTGTTGGAAGTATTTGGTGGCTCTTGTTATTGTTGTTGTTGCTGGTTTGAATTCCTGTCTTTGCTGGCTGCTTCTTCTGTCACTTTGTTGGTTTTCTCCAGTAAGTTTTTGTATTTAAGTGATATTCAAAATAAAATTGTCCTTCGCGAAGTCCTGTCCTCTGGCTCCCCACCTTCAGTCTGCTGAATTATCCACTCAACCACAATTAGGAATATATTCATCTAGACCTTCTTTACAGAAAAATTTCGTTTATGTCCAACAGTTAGAGTGATATAACAATCTCAGAAAAGACTGAACAGATCTTATCCAATTCTTCAGTATTATCGCAAGTTCATCACACTCAACGGGTCATTTTTCTGCTTGTTCACATAATGTTCCATCACAAAAAAACATCTGTGGAACGAAAAAACATTTATCTTGTTCACTCGATAATGTAATTTACTGATTTACATGTTATCTAAGCAGAAAACAAACCTTTTCAAAAATCCAGCATTCTGATTGGCTTGTCAATATTATATATACATATAATCCAATATTCTAATTGGTTGAAATATCTTGACCAATCAGAAGGCAGAAATTTAGAGAAACATTCAAATTTTTATTTTCAATATTTCTCACTTGTATACTCTTGAAACTATTCAAACAAAAAAAAACATGTAATGATTTTATTTCTACTACATGAATCATTCTCCAACTAATCACATCTTAACAGTTTCTAAGATAAACGGATTTTAAATTATAATGTGAGTTATGCTCAGTGAACAAGTTGTTTGGATATTATATGAAAAAGGATTTATTTGAAATCAATGTTGTATACCTCATTACTTTACATTGTTTGTCCAAACGCACACTGATAACACCATTGTGAGGGGTTGAAACAAAAATTCGACGGTTGAGTGGAAGTACAGAGATTAGGAGAAGGATAAACAATCCAATTTAAATCGATTTATTCATGTCAATGAGGGGTACAAACCCCGTTACAAAAAACATTAATACTACAATTACGAATAATAATACTCTTTACAATGACACACGATATAATAATAATAATACAACGTTAAATGACCCTTTATTACATTTGGATCGACGTTATTGGTGTCTATGCTTAATGATATTTTCGATAGCTACACTATTTGGAAATTCTCTAGTTGTACTCAGTGTGATAAGAGAACGTTCATTGAGAAATGCAACAAATTGGTTTATAGTCAGCTTAGCTATTGCTGATATTAGTTTAGCTATATTGGTTATGCCATTGGCTACATGGTTAGAGGTAAGTAATACATATATACATATATATATATATACATAATAATTCGATGGATTTATTGATTTATCGATTTTTTGTATCGAGATTTGAAAAAATAACTCAGTGTATTTCAGTAGACACTCTAGAGAGGATCATTTCCTCTCTTTCTTGAATTAAGGCAGCCTTTTTATATTGATGTGATACCACTCTTTTGTGGAGTCTGTTTGATAAACGCATCCAATTTTTGGCATTGTGGTATTATGTAATTCCATCGTAATCTATCCATCAGACAATTTAACAAATTCCCATTGTAGCATTAAGAACACAATATTCAGCGAAGAGACTCTTTTCAACAACGAATTTTTTATCAAGCTGTAATATCCTATACATATATGGCTTTTAAGAAATTATATATCCGGTGAGGGAATTAGGTCAAAGGTGTGAATACATGAAATAATAATAATAGTAGTATGAAATGCAATTAAAATATTTGTGATTATAATCATAGTTTAATGTCAAGTAGCAAAATAATTAATGTCATATATAGAATAATACATAAGGTGTATAGATTTGCGAAAGAGGTACATAATTATAAGATTAGTAGGCGAATATAAAATGTTACATAACATGGTGTGAAATTTGATAAGATAGAATTCAATATTATAAAAATAAAAAATATAAAAATTAATAATTTTGCGTTTAGAATGACAAGTGGGCCAACTGAAAAAGATTCAGGGTGAGAATAGTAATAATGATAATGATAATAATAATAATCGTAGTAATAAGGGAAGAGTACATAGAATAACTAAATAAACAAAATAAATAAATGTGCATCCATCTACGGCCAAGGCAGAAGTAGGGATTATACATGCTTCTTTTGTACACAGAGGTCTGGTTTACATCCATGAATTGCCAAGGCTTCCACTGTCTTCAGAAGTCTACAAAGAAGAAAACGCGGCAAGTTAGCATGGATTCGGTAGATGATCTTAAAATCATGGTCATGGTTGGCAGAGTGACAGAAGTCGATCAGGTGGTCCAAAATAGAGCTTCGCACACACTTTCTTTCTCCCTTGTAAAACCATGCTGCTAGAATATGTTCTCTTATCCGTGTGGAAAGGGTTCTCTGACTACGGCCAATGTACCTTGCTCCACAAAAGCGGGTGAACTGTTAGATGCACATGGAGGCGGCCAGACGGGGGAGCTTATCTTTTAGAGAGGTAGAGAGCAACTTGCGGCTAGTGAACGTCATTTGTAATTTTGCTGCAAAGAACGTCTTACTGACTGATTTAGAGAGAGACGGTTTTTGAGGATATCTGAGGCTTGATCACTTTTGAATTCCTAATTCATGAATTAGGTTTTCTTTGAAACGGAGTCGGTGCCCGTTTTATACTGTTTATCTTTCGTGTTTCTGTCAATAAATCGGTTTGCGTAACCGTTTTCTGCGATGGTGGCTTTTAGTAAGTCAAGTTTTAAGCAAACGATCAGAACTACAAATGTTTTTTTATCCTAAAACAGAGCGAATGAATTAGGTTCATTTTCCTGGAGATAGGCATGAATGTTTACGGTGAATGGATCTCTTGAGAGATCCGTCATTGCGTCAACTGATACATACATCAAGAAGCGGAATGCTTAGTTCAGATTCCTTTTCTATGGTGAACTGTAAAGATGGATGACAAATGTTCAATGCAAACAAGACATCATCAAAAATTACGTTATTATCTTAGATAACCAAAGTGTCGTCTACGTATTTTACATAAATGTCAAAGTGACCAACGGTTTGCCAAAAAACAGTCAACCAGTAATAGGCCCAGTAAAACCGGTTAGCAAAGTTTCGAACACAATTTATTCTTGTTCTAAATCACATCTCTGATCGTATCTGCACAACTCCGAAACTTTCCTTTTATAGTTTTCTTTATTCCTTCCCATTCGTCGTAGGGATAGTTTAGAATTTTCTAGATGTCCAGGTGCATAGGTGTTGAATCACTCCTACTACACGTACTGTCAACTGAATAGGTAAATAAAGCTTCCGATAACTCATTCTCTCCCTCCAACCTGTTACATCAAATTTTGTATGGTTGTGTTTACATAATTGCATGTAGTGCTACATAACTGAACTATTCTACAGATTTCATATCTTATTCAGGTCAAATAATCTAGATTTTTGTTAAATGTTTTGGGCTCCGCTAGTCTAACTGACTCCGTTCCACTACTTTGACCCATGCATTAACTGACCTGACGATCATTCCGGCAGGGCATTAGATAAACTAAATTGTTTTGTTTAACTGACCGCAAGGGATCCTTTATTAATAATCATACTATTGAAAGTAGCAATAATGGTAATAATAGAAGTAGTGACTTTATTTTGAACAGTGTTTAAAGAATGTACAGAATTTCCCTTCCTACAGGATCTTAAAATAAAATATTAATTGAAAGTAGATCCTAAGTACGGGTCGTCTACACTTCAACCAGGATATTTCTTGAGCAAAAGTGGAGTCTTGATTGGTTCGTTCTAAGACCACCTTGTTGCTAATTCTTTCTAACCGGCCACCCATTCGATCTTCAGTAAAGAGCTCGCCAGCAAGGGAGCTGTTCGAGATGGTTTCATGATGCGAACGCCGTGAATACAATTTCAGAGTGGTGAAGGTATTTTTTCACTTTCCGATCCTACTTTTGATGTCCTCATCGATCCCGACTATCTGTGATTAATACGACGCTTCCTAGATAAATGAAGAAAGTGACGGCTTTGAAATTTCTCCTGATGTCTTTGGCAGCTGGGTCCTTTTATCAACCCTGTCGTCTTTATATTCACATTAAGTCCTGACTTCGTTTCTTCTTCTTCTCCTGTCATTTTGTTTGGTCTTTGCGTGTAAGTCGCTGAGTTCATTGTGACACTAGACGTAAAACCATCCGTGAAAACTCTGGAACTTCTCAAGTCTTGTCATCGATCAGTTCAATGTATTCGTATTTTCTTACTCTCTAGTGACTTTGATATGCTTCTTTGAAATACCCTTGATGATGAAATGACTAGACAAAGGTCTCACTTCAGAGGGGATGCCATTTTTCTCGGAAGTGACCAAACCTTTCAGTAAGGTAGTAACTGACAGCATATCGTGTGACACAGGACTGTGTGGCCTGAAGCGACAACCAATCCTTCCCTTGTAATATTTCTTCTTTGCCGTCTTCTTCGAAAAATTGAAAACATTTGGTTTAAATCCAATTGTAAAACGTTCAAAATCATACATAAGAATTCCTTTTTATAAGTTTGAGCAGAGAAAGAACAAACATTACTACTATTGTTCCCTTGGGTTCCTAGTGGAACATAGGGCTTCAAATGCACGTCTCCACTTGATTCTGTCTTCTGCTCTACTTTTCACCTGCGTCCATGTTACTCCACACTGTTTCAACTTCTCTTCACACGATCTCCTACATGTCACCCTTGGACGTCCTACTCGCCGCTCCCATTTCAGGTTCCACTCGATGGCCTGATGAGCGATGTCACCCAACGGCCTCCTCAGTGAGTGTCCAATCCATCTCCACTTTCTCCTGCATATTTGTTGGGCAACTGGTTCTTGTTTTGTTTCTTCCCATAGTTTCTTGTTGGTTCTTGTTCTTTCCGGCCATCTGATCTTCAGTATAGAGCGAAGACAGTTGTTGATGAAGGTCTGCAACCTGTTGGAAATACTCATTCTTTGTGATCCGCCAAGTTTCTGATCCGTATAGAAGAACTGAGTTGACGTTTGTATTGAAAATCCGAATTTTGTTGTTGATGCTGAGTGACGAAGATTCTCAGATTGGTTCCTCTTGTAGTTGAGACAATGCTCCCTAGATAAGTGAATGAAGTAACCTCTTTCAAATCCCTCCCATTGATGCTGATTAGTGCTGGATGTTGCTGTCGCTGTTGTTGGTTGGTTATTTTCATAACCTCTGTTTTGTCTATGTTCACCAGGGGTCCTGTTTTTGCTGCTTCTTCGACCAGTTTGTCGGTTTTCGCTTGTAAGTCTTCGGACAAACATTGGTGCAGAATAACTTGGATCCATTTTATTTCGTTGGTTCTCATCATTGTAAAGATACGTAGAACAGTCTCTACTTAAACTCCAACAGCTTCTGCCCTGTCAGTTACAGACGAACGCTGGTGAAAAGGCTTTCCTCCATTGCGACAAGAATATGTCCACCTGACAAAAACTAGACAGTGAACTAATGCTGCTTGAGAATCGCTTGAAGGAAAATGTTTACCCACAAAATTTGATTGACAAATGTGGTAGGTAAATGAACATAAGAAATTTGATGAACCTGCGGTCAGCAAGAAGCCATTTTTGATCAAACTCGATTTCAAAGGCGATGATACTATAAGAATCGTAAATAAAAGATTTGGCAGAGTCTTGTCCATAATTTATCCTGCAGCAAAACTAGTCTCTTTGCTCTGAACCTCTTCCTCGTTGGTGCCGTCAAAGATCGACAAGTATCTGAGGGAGCAGTTGCATTGGAAGAACACAAGGAGGGGCCTACATCAGATTCTCCGAACATGTAACAAGGAGCTTCTGAGGTTAAAGGGGCTAAGTAGCTTATGCTCTTTAATTACCAAACACGTGATAGACATTGGGAACTGAGTGGACAGGCTGGCATCAATTAAAACAATTGACAGACAAAACAGCTCAAGCCTTCTTCAGTCATCTGAGGCTATCGCAATAAAATGATTGAAACCTGACCTACCTGTCCGACTCCTCCCTCGCCTTGCTTCTTCTCTTTGACTTCCATAAGAGATAATTTTTCTGAAATTTATGAGTTCTACTCACTATATTATATCATCATCTTTTCATTTGACCTCTTGCACACCGAATTTTGATCTCCTCTTATCTAACTACGTAATTCTTACTAATTTCCGTTACCACCGTAGCAACAGACTTGTCAATTGATTTTCTAGAAACTTCTCTCTAACAAGATATATATATATATACCTGCAATTCAGATAACCTTGTTGTCCTAATGTTTTACCTCACCATAACACTTATAATATGCTTGTTGAT